AATTTTTTTATAAAAGATATATAATAAAAATTTTTACATTTAAATAAATTTCAATATCTAATAACTTAATTAAATAATACAGAATTAAAATTTTATTTTGAAAAAATAATTTATTAATATTTATCTGAGGTATAAATCTTTTTGCACCAATTCATATATTTTGAAATACTAGAATATACTATAAGAAGAATAGAATTTTTAGATAAGTAATCTTTTAGATATGCTTTTATATAGAAAAGAGAGAATTTCTTAAATAATTTCAAGAGTTATATAAGAAATTTTATGAAAATAATTTAAAATTACTTCTTGATAAATTATATACTTACATAATATATTTCATTTGTATATAATTTATTATATAATAATTATGTGATTTATTATTTTATTAATAAAATAATTATCCTCATATTTTAATATACTATATAATATATATATTGAGAATTTTAGTGATGATGCAGTATTTGATATCTTTAAAGTGCCTGCCTTATATTATTATATTTATTTATATTTTTTCTTTTACTATATATTTATTATTAATTTTTTATATTTTATCTTCTAAATTTTTTTATTTTAATATTAATTTTATTTTTAGTTTAATGAAAAAAATTAAATAAAAAATTATTCTTTATCTTAATATACTTCAGTTTCAATACTTGTATTTAAATAATTCAGCATATTTTATATTATTATTTAATTTGCTATTTTAATTTTATTTTACATTTGTTAGTTTAATTCATGATTTCATTTCATTATATTGATATTGAAAGTAATAGAATATGGCAATATTAGTATAACTATACAAATTTTTATAATACAAATTTTATAATATATATTATAATTATACTTGTTATTCATATTTAATAAATTAAAATCAAATCCCAATTCTATTCCATATCTCACTAAGCCCAATCCCATTTTAGACATGCCCAGGATTACCGTTGAATGATCGCATTCTTCGTTTCCTCCTTGCTATTGTGAGCATCTTTACTGTAGTAGCCGCCGACATTGCAAATTTGATCCGGCATAAAGATGCAGAATCTCATCAAGTATATGGCATAAGAAATATTATATTGGTTGACAGCAATGACGCACACTACACAATACAAATATTATTTCCACGAGTTTGTTTAAATAATCGTTTTTTTTATTGTTGCTAAAAGAATGAACCTTGAAAATGTATCAAAGTTTTGTGATTTTACCTAAAATAAATAAAATAATTGTATAATAATTTAATTTACATGTATTTCATAAAGTGAATGACTATATACATGTATAAGCAATAGATTATCTTAGATCAATCAAAGTTCTTAGTTTAACATGATATTGTATCTATAAGGTTCAGATTTCTTACGACACTCTTTGAGCATATATACGAGTTAAAATTACTTTAGTAGTACCGAAAATTGGTTGATGGTCAATCTGTAAATTAGCAAAATGCGCTAATTTACAAGGCAAACAAAAATAAAGAGAACATTAACAAATTTAATGAAAATAAATTTTGACAAGAAGAAAATGAAAAACTGCATTCTTTTATATACCTTTACTCAAAATTTCCTTTACCCTATGTCCAGTGCCACTAACAAGCAATTCGACCCATCCATCTATCTCAGTAACACGCCTGAATTCCTTAACGATGACTGTCCAATCATGAGGATCTTCTTTAATTATACAGTAATGGACGTAATCAAAAGTTTTTTCGATTTGCTTCAATGAAGACGCGTAAGAAAAGGAAGCATTAGAGGGCATTGTTGCAGTCGGATAATAGCCTTCTTCATCAATACCAGTAAAATTCGATTTTTTATATTCCGAGGCCATTTCACAGACCCACATACCTGTACCACAACTTCATTGATAATAACATAACATGAAAAGAGAAATGTCTACAACCAATAATTTCATTAAATAACAAGGCAAAATCGAATGATAAGATTCTTACCCCACATCCAATACATTAGCACCACTCTCCAGTCTTGGGCTTATTGGAGCGGAGAAATTGTTTCCCCAACTTTGTTTAGCCAAAAAGGAAAGATCGTCAATTTTTGAGACCCTCTCAGGACCATTTTTACTTTTCTTTGAGAAAATTTTTTTAGGAAAGTTACGAATCGTTTGAAGATAAATCATTTTTTATTCTGTAAAATAATTATCAAAAAACCCTTCGGTTGTTTACTTGAATAAAAGAATGTGTAATAAAGGGAAGGTGTAAAATGAGAGAGAGGTATGGGTGACTAACTAAAAAATTCATAAGACTTTTGAAAAGCTCTTTAAGGCATTTTATTTAAATAAATTTCGAAAACATATGATCGTTGACTGCCGAAAATAATAACCAATTGGTTGGGAATTCTTTCTAGTAAATACAAATAAAGTAATTTAACCAACTAGAAAGCAGGAGTTGATTGGTCTTGAGCAAACAAATGATCATTTAAACCAAAATTATGCATTTTGTAATTTTTTTGCTCAGAAGTTATTGAGTGCTGAAAATGGTCATTAATTAAACTTTCTTCTACTCAACTGTTTCTTCTAATTAATTCCATCATTGTCTCGAACTTTTTTTTTTGATTCGAATAATTTTATGAGGGGTTTCAAGGGTTGTAAATTAATGCATAATATTGATGCGCGAAATGAAAGACTATGACAACTTCATAATTGTATACTAAATCTGGGGCCTAAAATAATTATTGTTAATTAATAATAACCGATTTGTATTGTATTAAACACGCTGTATTATCTTATAAGCGGGTTGTATATTAAATAAAAAACGCGTTAACTTTCTATATCTTAATAATATTGTAACAATTGCATATTGACTTCTTTTTGGGATCGTTCTATTAATTCTAAGTTACCAACAATATCATATCTATTCTTTATTCTTTATTTGTAATAAACGCCGATAGAATGTTTAAACCCTTCTTAAAATTCGACTCGTCACCAACAGTCTTTAACATCTCTTCCCCGCGACAATTTGGATGTGAATAGTATTTTACAATCAGTTTAGCAGGTGTTACTTTTACACTCGAAACTACAGTCGATGATTCGAAGGTTTCACAACGTGGTTCAGGTGAAATAATATCGACGTAAGGTCCCGTAAAATTCGCGTATTGATAAAGACGCGCGGCCATTAATACGATGTATGATTCATCTTCTGTGGGAACATTTGTAATTGCTGCAAGTTCCACATCGACAAACAGGCAAACAAGCTGTAAAAGAAATAAACAAACGATGAATGTCGTTGCCGATGATAAGTTCATTTTGTATGTATTAGATGAAATATCTTGAGCTATTGTTGTCTTTATATCACCACAAAAGCGTCAATTACAGTGATGATCATAAAAAATATCGATTTACATCCATTTTGGGCAATCCATTGTCCGTAAAATTTTGATTGGCAAAGCACCAATAACAATAACGATTAAATCATCGATTAATAATACTGTATGATGATACAGTATAACTTTATTTGAGAATTAATAATTTATTGAAAACATAAGCCATGTTCCCGGTAAAAATGTCTTATATTGTATATTATTTATTATATACACTAAATACATGTAATATATAAAGTCCAAATGCAATATAATGTATATTACAAAGTTAAAAGATCCAATCATTTTGTATAAGTTAAAATAATACAATTCGTATTCTATATAGAAATTCATGTACATATGTAAAAAATAAATTGAAAGATGAAACCAATTTATTAACATTAACCTAATCACGATAAGATAAACATAAATAAATAATTGCCGCGTATATTACAAAAAATTTCGTTTACCTGGATATGACCTGTGATAATATGGGCACCATTAACGATGACATGATTGGGTTTTATTATAATGGCGAGGCGTGATAGTTGCTTTACGCACTCTCCTTTTTTTTAACTGTCAAAAGTTTTGTCATAAATACTGCAAGTTCTTAGCAACTTGTTGCTTAAACATTACCTACCATTCACCTTGTTAGATGTTATTATGTTTTCACTTTCACTAGTTATTTAGTAATACGTATGCTTTCTCAAAAGCCAATCAGCGATAAAACAAACGAGAATACAACTTTAGGAAACAAGCATGATTTTATTATGGGGTAAAAAAATAGCAATTTGATATTTTTCGCTTAAGAATTAAATTTATTACTGCATATTTCACGTATATCACATCTTAAAATAAATGGAAAAGAAACTTTCGCGGAACCTGGAAAACTAGCGATGGATGAAAACTATGATAACGACGACGACGCGTTAAATTGCAAAAAATCATACTTCAGTTGAAGAAAATCATCATTCTCTATTTATTTTTATACGTAGAAATATTACTTCATGTTGCACTTTAAATTTTCAGCGAATCTAATTAAACTAATCAATGAATCATTCAATAAAATTGTTTTTATTCAAAATCATCAAACGTGACTAGCAACAATTTTAATACATGTATAAGTGAGGCAAAATAATTATTATTAATAAAATATAGATAAAAACATAAATAAAATTCAAAATACATAAATAAGTTAAAATTAATAATAAAAGAATATCAATAATCATACAAATACATGAGATATTTACACACTAGAAAAGAAACATTAAGTTAATGACATAACATATAATATTATTATATAAAGAAAGAAAATTTAAACAATGAGAACTCGAAATTCTTTACTGTAATAATAATAAAAAATTTAATTAGTCACTAAAGTTAAACTGGATAAAATCTTAACAAAAAGAAATAAATTAAAAAAATGAATTTAAGGTGCGAATAACACCACGATCATAAGAGCAAGTGGGAGCAGAAGATACCTGTGGCATGACAGGAGGAGATGGAGAAGATGGACCAGAAATTTGCTTATGAAAATGCTGACAAAAATTTTCTTTACAACTACGATTATTATTGGAATCATCAGTCTGTGATATTGGAGGGAGATTAATTTCTTTTTCGGTGTGAGAATTAATTTTCAAAGGAGGTAAGAGAAGAAAATTGCGTGTAGGGGATGGTGCAGGAGGTGTTCGAGAAGAAGGAGAATTATGTAAGCTTGAACTTACATGTGAAGTGGAATTAAACATTGAAGACCTATGTTGAGGATAATGATTATACTGAGAATTCACGTATGAGAACGTATAAGGGTAAATATTCTGGTAATTTTGAGTGACATTAAGAAGCAACTCTCTTTCTTCCTCGTCCATGTTGTAAACTGGACCTTTAGACCGCCTTCTCCTTGGTTTGTACACATAATTTGGAAAAACTTTTTCATGGACATCTTTTGCAAGGTTCGCAATAAATTCAAAAATTCGGATAACGTCAACTTTTTCATTTTTCCAATAATCCGAAGCGACTCTTGATATTGTGGCCAAATCACCACCAATTTCCTTTCCATGCAATTGAATAAGTTTGGCTTGGATATCCCGTCGATAAAGTACAAATGGATTCTGAGGTCGTGGCGTTTTCCCTTTTCTTGACTTAGCTTTTGGTGTGATTAATTCATGAAGGCTAAGACTGATGCATTCTTCAACCTTATGTTTGTAGGTTGGTTCAATTTTGGATAACAGTTCATCCATAAACTCTTGATTGACATGTGCTAGGTCATTGTTGCCGTCGTTGTCATCATTATTAGCAAAAGATAAGATGGTGGAGACGGAGGGAGGACGAAATGTGGAACGATGTTGAACGAAAGAATTTGTCAAGTCGTTGTGGGTTGTGTTTGGTGTTCCCTGGCAAACAGAAGGTTCATTAGCAAAGTTTTCTCTTCGATTCAGACGTTGGTTGTTAATTTGAATTCGTGGCATTATGTTTGGAAAAAATTATTCTGTTAAAAATGTAAAGGCGAAGTAAAAATTTTAAGTGTTGATGTGGTTTTTCAATACGGAGATAATCAAGAGAATGGGGGTAATGTAAAGGATTTTAAGTTGCAATAAAAATATGCGTGCTTATTTTATATAAAAAGATGAGGCGGATAAAAAAATGACTAGATTTAATTTAATAGTTATGTGCATCTCGATAAATAATAATACACAAATGCTTGTATTTGCGTTTATACATATAAGAATTTTACATTCACTTAATAAGTACATGTATCGAACGTTATCTATATGTATAACGTGCATGAACCAACTGTACCGGTTCGCATATTGTGATAAAAACAATAATACCCCAATCAAGTTTATAAACAAAGAATATAAAATACAATAATACAGTGAGCGTGCAATAAAGTACCCCCTTTGTATCCTGGAAAAAGTAATTCATTATCCGGAAAATATTGTGTCTGTTCATATTAGTACCAAAAATTTACTCTGTCAATTAGGTCACCGCTTCTGCATTAAAGAAACATTCAAAGATTCGTTTTTGATTTTTTTAGATTCACTTACGCATGCATAGCATTATCCATAAAGAAATAATAGATAATAATGCGTTTGTTTCTTTCTCTGTAAGTTTTTCCTATTATTAAATATGAGAATGGAACGTCCTGTCTGATAGTGATCCATTTAACTGATTGATTGATTGTTATAAATAATTTCCCCAAAGAAGAAAATCGCGCGCATTTTTTAAAATCAACAATAGTCGAGTTATTTATGACGTCATGATTGATTACATGTCGTTATAGTTATTGAATAAAGATCTCTTTTTTAAAGTTTGTCTGACATCGCTATACATATTATCTCCCCTTTAGTCAAACGCGTAGTTGAATCGCGGAATGCTGAGAGAACAAGCCAATTAATTCCCTTTGTCAAATTGTCCAAACGAAATGGGAAAATTTTCATCAATTTTACGCGGTTCACGAAAAGGATTAAAGCAGCTGCCGTTGTCATGATGCTTAAATGATAGACGTCTCTCTACAATGAGACTGCAGTGTCGAGTTTTCTTAAAACAGATATTAATGAATATCGACGCAATTCAAAATATTACGGGGGAAAACAATACAAATGCGTGCGTCTTGTTTTCTTGTTTTAGATTTGTTTATTTTTAGCTTATCAAATTTTTGAGTAACAAATTTTTCTTGTTTTTTAATGATCAACTTGCAATAATTCACATACTACACTCTTAGTTTTTCGTGACTTTCTCATCTTTTTTTCAGAGCAAGCATAAAATAAAAAAACATTTACTAACGAAAGTAAACATTAATTTCAGCTTTAGCATAATCAAGTGTTTTTAATAAATTGTGTGTGTGCGTGCTAATTGAGCAACTTTAAATCATATGAACATTATTAGAAATAAATCATTATCTTTTTTATATGAGCGACTTTTAAATCATATGAACATTATTAGAAATAAATCATTATCTTTTTTATTTTCCCAGCACTCAATATCGTTATATTGAAGAGAACGATGTAAGTGAAAAATCTTTTTTTTTCAACATAGATTACACGTATAATCGAATTGACACATGTGTAATAAATATCTTATACATGCACATGTAGATAATTACTGCGATTATCTCGCTTAAAAAATAATCATGTGATGGTAATATGAAAATCCCACATACATGTATCAAATTTTATAAGGCAATGATAAACATTACAAGAGATGTTCACCCGATATGACATTGCAACCAAACAAGTTCTATCCACATCCCCTGGGATAAAATGTCACTGCCCTCACATAATAAAGCATAAGTTATTTCAACCACAAAGAAACACAGATGCGTAAATGCGCGGGTAATTTTCCATTAGTTTTTCAAAAAAATATTTCCTTTGTTTAGAAGATCCAATTCGTGCATTATATAACGTGCGTTGATGATTCTTTGTTGTTTTACTGTCCTTTAGACAGAAGGATATGAAATTTGCACTTAACACGAAATATGTTTGTAAAAAAACTATGGTAAGTCGGTGAAACTCATGAAAATATACGAAACAATCAGATATGTAGTGTCTATGTAAAAGAGCACATTTTGCAGACATACGTATAAACACATATGTAAAGAGTCTGTTTTGTCTCACATGTACATGCTTAATTTATGTGTCTTGTAAAACACGCATAAAGAAGTGTCATCTCACATATCATATATACATGTAATTTTGTACGAAATTTACATGCGTACTTTTTTCTTATCATGCATACAAGTAACAATACTCCTGATAATAAAAGTAGTATTAATGTCTCGGGGAGACTTTGTTTTTCTTTGGGAATTCCTTATTTTTTATTCAGGTTTTGATACGCTATGCGATACAAAGACAAAAATCGCTATTTTAGGTGAGTCAAGCGCTACCATTATTTAATGTTAATCTTATACTTGTCATTTGTAACCTTAATAAAATTCGAGCGGAATTTCTGTTCAATCTGTCCAATTAATTTTATCTTTTTCAGCGGGCAGTTGTTTTCAAACTTTATTTATGAATGAATGAATCACAAGCATCGTCACAAATAATAATGTATGTAGTCGATCTGATGGATTGATTGAATAGCGATAATAACTATTCCCCCACTTTGACTTTTTGATGAAACTGGTGGATTTTCTTCTTTCTATTTGAAAACTTAATGCTTATGCGTGCTTATAGATTTAAGAGATACAAACATCGTAGACAAATGAGAACCAAGAATGTAAATTCGGGGAAAACCGAACCTTCTTCCCGGAGTTACACTAGTGATCCTTGGTGAAACAAAATTAATTATTGCACAGGTACCCATACTACAGGTGCCCATACTCCTTCTAGATACATGTAGATACTTTTTTTTCACATATCCTTATCTTTCTCATGATGGTGACGACGAAATTTATAATAAAATAAAATCAATGCCTCAAGAAAAAGCAATTTCTCTAAACATATTAAAGGATTGCTCATAAATTGTGACTTTAAGGAAGTATATTAGCCGCTTGTCAATTTTATTCTGAGAATAGTCTAATTACGAGCGTTATTCAAAAGTATTTTCAGGTTGATCTCAGCTAGCATTAATACAAACCTTTCTACGAAGAATTAATGTGTCCAGCAATAGGCTTCCATATTATTTAGGATTGATTACTTTGTTATTTATACATCTAATAACAATAACGATAATTAAAACGCATGCTTGTATAATAATGATGTGATGTGATTTTCAACAATGTACATGTACATGTACATTTTCAAATGGCACGCATGCATGCTGTAGATTTTTGTTAAACGTCCCCCCTTGTGTTGAACCCAACACTAAATTAAACTCGAGTAACAGACCAACACAACATATTCTTTGTATACACAAGTCAATGAATAATAATAACCACAACGTAATATTTGATTGTGAGATGATTATATTATGCATAACCGCGCGGAAAAACTTGTTATGTACTGTACAATACATGTAGATCGATGGAGAATATTGCGAAAATTCAAGTTTTTTCCGCAAGTTAAAATTTTTATTCCTGTAAAATCGAGAACAAATGAAATCGCGCTAATATTGTTCTTGTTTTTGTAAACATCATTTAAAGCGAGGTCGATAGATCTCGTAATATACATGAATTAAACCATTAACAATATTAAAATCTCTGGTAACCCTTTAGAAAATAACTTCTTTTTCCATTCTCGGTACCGCATACACACATAACATTGTTTTTATAATACAAAAGAGGGGCTTGAACCAAGTACATGTAACTTGCTGCCGTTAACAATTACAATCAATCATTAATGAAATCCCTTTTTTGGTAAACAGCAACAAAGTGGGTGCACGAAACTCGGAATTTCACATTCGTCCCTCTGAATATTTTCCCAATCCTATCAAATCTGAGAATAATTCGTATAATAATTATACTTGGACAATACATTTGTTTGCAATTGCAGTAGTTAATATTATTAATGAATTACAGACAAAAGTGATTTTTGTATAAGTTGCATAAAATATATTATCAGTAATAAGGAACATAGATTTGTTATGTTCTAAAGAATTTTTAATTATAATAATAATACAATAATTATTGATCCTATTAATCATTCTGATAAAAAATCAAAAAGAACTTTCCGCTCAATTGTACCGCAATACAATACGTATTGCGAGTTCACAATGAATATTTGCAATTTTTATTGTCTATTCGAAATTTTTGCGCCTATTGTGCTTGATCGAAATATATTTGACTTCAATATACTGTAGAAAAGTCTGAAAGTAAGTTATCTTCCATATTTTGGATGTCATTTGTTTATGTGAAACACATTCGGCGGAAGAAAGTCACGGTACACTTTACTAACTAAACAATAACTATATGTAAAACAGCTAATATTTGATAGCTTTGTTGACCTATACCAATTTTTAATATATATCTGAATGTGTAGTGACATTTTATTTCTGCATAAAATATTCGTTGCATTCAAATCAGTTTTTCGATACAATGTTCTAATTTATTTCATAAATGCTCAATTAAATTGTGATTTGGTGATGGTGGGGGTCAATTTGGCGTGTTTTGATCTCTTTCTGGTTTTTATATCACCCGCCATATGAATTGCACATTATTTTGTTGAAAAAATAATATATATGAGTTCGGTGTCAACTTGGATAAAATTAATCGGTTATTTCATATTTCGCCATCCCAGTAGTCTGGTAAGTCTGGTACTGTGAATTTTTATCACCATTTGATTCATTGAGTAAATGATAATAAAACCGTCCAATGATTCAATTCACGTGATATTACCACCATTTGATTCGTCTAGTCAAAGATTTAGCGAAGTCATGCGAACAGATTGCTAAAAATATTTGATTTGTAAAGTGTTCCATGACTTTCTTCCGCCAAGTAACCTATATAAATTTAACCCCGAAAATAAGTTACCCTCTAATTTTTCAAGCTTAACTTTACCAAATTAGCCATAGTTGAAATTCAGTAGCTCAT